GCACCGCCCCCTCCGCAGCGGCCACCAGCCATTGGTCACCGCTCACGCCCCCCCTGCGCCCATTGGCTACTGCCCGGGGCTCTTATCGGGTTTTACTCTTGCTTTTTCTTTCAGCCCGGCATGCCTCGCGAGCTGCGTCCGTTCCCATAGCGACGGGCGGCCGCGTGCTGAGGTGCCCGTGCCGGTACCGGGCGCGCCGCGGGCGGTGGTAAGGCGCAGTTCGGCTGCGTGCAGGGAGATCCGGTCATGGCTGCCCCGCCGCTCTCCGGTGATCCCGGGGGAGTGTTCCCTACGATACCGCTGTCCATGTGTGTGAACGGGTCCACTGTAAGGCATCCTTCCATAGCTGGCTCCTGGTTCCCAAAGGCCGCGCTCCAATCCGGATCACAGAGACACCGGGTTTAACCCAGTGACCTCTGCAGCAGCCCCTTGCTGCTGGGAGTGCTCCTCCAGTAAATTGCCCTTTCTGAGGGGGAATCCCTCCCATGTCAGAGGAAGGGGTTCCATAGCTTTAAAACGCCACTTCATCAGCTTTCCTATTCACATGTGTTGCCAATCTGTCTTTGCCTTTCAGACTCAGTGACTTCTGAGAGAAATCTTTCATCTATGCTTACTGTGATCAAGTCAGCTCCAAACTTTGATCCTTTCGTGAACTGAATCCATCAGGCTCCTTACATCTTATTCAAGGTATCTCCTGCAGACCTCACTCTCTGCAGCTCTTGCCTCCTCTTTATTTTTCGGGGAGAGGGGGGAACATGTGTGTGGTTTTTGTTTTGTTTTGTGTCTGTTTGTTACAAATGAAGCAAGATGCTCTGGGAGATCCCCAGGGCTCTTTCTGTTGGGTTTCACTCTCCCTGGGGCACTCTCTGCTTCTGCTCTTGTCAGCAGATAGAAAATTGCTGTTGAGTCTTCCATAACTGGTGATCTGTTAATAACAGGACTGCACCGTTTTGATAACAAACAGCACAGGATGACTTAGGAGAGGTTTGTCAGGCACTGGTTGGTGGGGCTGCCATTTGCTTATAGAAATAAAACCTCAAGAGCAGTCGTCTATCTCACTTGAAATGCAAATATTTTTCATGTTATTATATGATAAGTACCTGCTTAGTGGCATTCATAGGAAAAGCAGCTTAATTGCAAACAAGCTTTTGCTTTTGAAAGCTCTGAGGCAACCTCAGAGGAATATACTGCCACCAGAATACTGAAACTGGATAATGTAATGTTTTTGTCACTCTAGAGTATCTCAGAAATGATTCCTGACTTTAGCTCCCAGGATTCAGCATTCCAGATGGAAGAGATGCAGTTCCCAGCTTTGCTTCCCATCTTTGCCATCGGGAAGGTGTGCTAGGGACTGCTCTGAAAGTTAGGAAATTAAGGGAGGTGTTCGGTAACTGCAGGCGAATTTCTACACATTTATTAAGAAATGGTTGGCTGAAGGAACAGATGTGATGAGACTGCAGGAAATGTCAGTGTGGGTGAGATACTTGTTGTTAATGAGAAACATTAAAGAGAAACCTTCGAGCCTTCCTTGTTGATCAGGGATATAAACGTATAGTTTCCAGCAGGACAGAGCTGCAGGAGAAGGCAGAACAAACACACACGGGGATGGTATATGGAGGAGAGAAGGTGCCAAAGAAAACTGGATAATGGATAAGGCCTATCATGAGGGGCCTCTTGCAGATGGAGGTTAGACTGTAAGCACTTTTCAGTTGAGGCCTTTTTTTGCTGTGTCACATACTATATTACAGCATCTAATAGAGATTTTTCTCGTGGCTCCTTGTTACTATCATAAGATAAAATAATAATTATTAGCAACAAAACAACTTCCTTTTTTTCATAAAACTGAAAAAATCACCTTGAAATGTTCTTAGTAAACCTGGAGTACGTATGCTAAGGCTTCTAATCCAATATGATGTGTTACAGATCTTCACAGTAGTGGAAAATCCTTAGCAGTTATAAGTCAAGTGATCTCCATGGTCTCCAGGGAAACAAGACACATTTACATCATCTCAGAATCTGGCCTCCTTTCTTTTCCTGCTGTTTACTGTATCTGTTGACCACTGAAAAGGATGAGTTATTTCACAAATACACATTATGTTTGCCCCACTGCAGTTACCAGGAATTTACAGGTAGCGATTTTATTACATGAGTCCTTAACTAGATTTATTCACTTGCCAGAGTTCATAAATTGCACTGTGGCAGAATACTGTAAAGACCTGACCCAGATCCAGACCCACTTGCTCATCGAGGCCCTCCAGTGAAAGCAGATGAACCAGCACCACAAAGAGACTTCGTCCCCACCTCAGGGTGCAGCTGTGGCCCAGTGGGTCTTTGCACTGTGCTGTGAGGAGCAGCACCAGGCAGGCCGGGGGCAAGCTGAGGCACTAACACATTCTGCCCCACAGGTAGCTCATCTGGCCTCTGCAAGGGTTCCTGCTCCAGTGGTTGCAGGTGTCTCTGTCAGGGCTGTAATTCCCGTATTAGTGGTGAAGCTGCAACAAACCCCTTCATTAAGGAAATGTGTTTTCCACTTCATGTGCACTTTGCACTGCAGGCATCAGGCAGTTTGTTCTCTCACTGGAGAGAGTGGGTAAGAGAGCAGCAGTGAACTGGCAGTTTTAAGCTTAGCCTGTGTTGCATTGGGAATGTGGGATCATCTTTGCCCAAATGGTTGGTTTGGTTGTTGCTTTAACATAACTACATACATTGGGTTGGAAGCTCCTGCAGCCATGCAGTTGACTCTCAAATTTCTTTTCCTTTTTCTATGTAAGTAACATTGTCCCCACTCTCTAGGGTAGCTAGAGGAGGAGGTCAAAACAGATAGAACAAGTAGGAATTTCTCAGGCTGGGAATTCTCTACTGACATTCTCATTGTATGCTATGATTTGAGATCTTTCCTCGTCATGGTTTATAAAAGTCATAAATTACTTTCCATCTGAGCTTGTATATTTATAAAACTTCATCATTTGCAGGGTCTGAATCTTGAAAAGCCTGAGACTAAAGAACTAATACAATGTTAACAGCTTTGCAAAGAGGTGGATTAGTGGGTTAAACAGAGACTTTGATTCAACACTCTTAAAAGAATTCAAGTATCATAATAATTACATGTTTTATGCATATATGTGTGTGTGTATAATAGAAGCCTAAAAAAAATAATGAAGTAACTGCACAAGTAAGAGAAGGACAAGTGATTGTTCTTACTTCTTGCCTGAGAAACATGAAAAGAAATATAAATCAAAGTTCAAAGCTTACCAAACATGCAGCCTTTGGGAGCAGTGAGTGAAAGTGGCTCCTACTCAGTAGCTGTGATTCCTTATACCAGCAAAGCTAGCTGTAGTGCTTTTCACTCAGCCTAGGCTTTCCATTTAACACATGGCACATAATGAATGGCCCGAGAGGCCATTGTCAAAGCAGTCCGTACATCTGGTGTTGAGAGCAAGCCTCTAATGGCTGAACACCAGTACTGTTCAAACTCCTTACTATTTTAATGTACTTCTAATATGCTTGAGATGTTAAGAAAACAACGTGTGTCATTAATTTCTGATTTATACTACCTGTTGTTTGCAGGGACATGAGAGATACAGTTCATAGGAGAAACAGTCATGGCCACGCACACGACTTCCTGTCAGCTGGCAGCACCTGAAGGGACACATGCACCAAGCTGGTGGTGTTTATTACACAGCTGTACAGAAAGACTGAATAGGAGTAATGACTTTTCTCTGCAGAGAAATACAGAGCATACACTGTATAAGCTGGCTGACATCAAATTATGATCTCATGAGGTGAGTTTCTGCCTTCAGGGAAAGCATGTGCTTACGTAGGCATGGAGGAGCCTACTTTCCTTCTGTCAGGCTCTTGAGAGCCATAAGAGCAGACTCACAACTGGTAACCTATTACAACAGCACCAGGGCTCTTTTCTAGCACTTTCCTAGCTCAGCATGCCACGATCTCTTCTACTGCGTGGAGTTATAACTGGAATAAATAATTATGGATTCTTAAATCTATATGAGGACAGGGCACCAGCCAGGAATAGAAGTTTGGTTTTCAGCTCTTTACTGTACTGTTTATGGCCTGAAAGTGAATGGTCTGGACTATTTGGTTCTAGTTTGCTCTGGTATTCCTTCAGCAGGTCTGTTTCTCTGTGAGCCTTGGTTTATCTCATCTCTGACTGTTGGAGGTTCTGTGAGGAAGCCTCAGCATTCTCTGCCAGGATAAGACAATGACAACGTATGTTGTTTGTTGGAGCAGTCTTCACCATTTGCCCTGCACAGCACCTCTTCCCATGATAGTTTCCTGGCCTAAGGCAGAAAGGCAGAGTCAGGGGGGGGTTCTTTTGTTCTTGGAGCTGTGCTACTTCTTTGCTACCATTTCTTTGCTTTGCCTGGCCTTTCTGTGACAAACATCCCATCTGGGAGCTGATGGCTGGGGTGTATGCCCCAGCAGTCTTCTTACAGAATTTGAGGTATCGATACATACCTGTCACTCGAAAACCGGCTGGAAACAGTTACTTTTCAGTACTATCTTGCAAATAAAATGAAATATCCCCATACAAATTCTATTTTTTTTCCCTCAAGATGGAAACTTCCCAAGCCAAAACTAAAACTGAGCCACAAGAAAAGCATCTAGAGCTCTCTGCTCAAAGATATTTTACTTCTAGAGTATTAACTTAACAGTCTGGGGTGTGGTTTCTGCAACTCTGAGATCTAAAGTAAAAGTTCAGCACCCTTACAACCAAATTACAGCCAGTAAAAGGTAATGATGCTGACGTGATGCTTGTGTGAGTTTGTAGAGCTAGAAACAGATCAAAGGTGAACCAGTTTCCAGAGCAGTATGCTCATCACACTGCTTCTACTAAAGCTGTTGCTAGCTTCCTGTTAGCAGAGTCTGCCTGGAACACTGAAGAGTACCAGAGTATCTCTATACCTAAAACCTGTTCCAACAAGTAATAAAGGTGTCAGCGTGCATTTAGTTCCCTGTGCCAACAGAACAAAAATGCCCAGTTCACAAGTAATTACATTATTTATTTACAACAAGCCTAGCCACACAAGGGGTTTTAAACAACACAAATAACTGCAGTGCTTTGTTTGAAATGGAAAAATGGGTTAATCCAGAAAATATTGCCAGATACACATCTGAAGGACAAAAATGGTTGTGGCAAAGACTTTTTCTTTTAGAACAGCCAGTTCTGTGTCTGAAAAGTGCTTTCTCCAACTATGTACAACTACAGGCACTGGATTTATGAGAATAAAAATACAAAATGCCCCATCCCTGGCAGTACTGCAGGACAGGTTGGACAGGGCTTTGAGCAGCCTGGTCTAGCAGAAGGTGCCTGTGGAAGCAGGTAGGAACTGGATGAGCTTTAAGGTTTCTTCCAACTGAGACTGTCCTATGTAATACTTGGTAGAAGCAAAATATTTGAGAGAATCATCTTCTTAAAGTGCCTTTTCTTCCTTAATGAAAATCTGAGCTCTCTATGTCAGAGATGCAGCAATGGTACAGACTCCTCCTCCAGGCCCCTCAGATACCTGGGAGCTCTGTTACTTCTGACAGGGTCAGAGCCAGAGTCAAGCTAAAGGTGAGAAATAGGCAAAAGAGCTCTCCAATCTCTCATTTCCCAACAGATTTGTTGAGGAAAAATAGTGTTCTGAGGGTTTTTAATAATTACCTTTTAATGTTCTTTTTAAAGCCTTTAAGTCATTATCTTAAAGAGCAACATCCAGTTCACTTTGCTAAATAAAAGTACTGAGATCATCTGTCACGCTGCCTTCTGGCTTCATAAACACTGAATATTACAGCAGCAGTATTAAACTTGGTCCACCTTCTACTGTAAATCATCTTGCAAGCGCTCTTCTTTTGATCAGAATACACACCAGAGTATTTTGGCTGTGACAAAACTTAGTTTTCCCAAATAAAACACTGGAACACCATTTGGGCTCTGGGCTAAAAGCTCTGCAGATAAGTCTCTCGTTCTTCCAGCTTTGGCAAAGGGATGTTACCTGATAGAGAACAGAAATAAAGGTGTGAGATCAGCTGTAAGTTACCTCTGGGTAGTACAACTTAGCACAAAAGTGCATCTCCAGTTTGTTCTAAGCACTTCCTTATTACAAACTAGTGCTTCTGCAAGTGAATGCAGCTATGGTGGGTTACATTCCTCAGGTTAAGTCAAGCAAGATTAAGAGGTTTTTATATGCAAGACAATACCTGGTGGGGCTACAAAATATTCCTCTACTTTTTCTCTGGCATTTTTCAGCAGCTCTTTTGTGCAGTTGCCCTCTGTAACATCATCTTCTCTGAGATACAGACACCTGAAGAACAAAGGTTACTGTCTTTCAGCTAATCCATATGAAGTAGGAAGCATGGCTTATCTCTAAACCTGGTTTTGGTCTTAAGCAAGCAGTAAGACAAGTACTGGAACATTCTGAAGCATAAGAATGCCCCTGACAGCTATCTGGGAGCCAATCATTCATGCAGAGTAAGATGTACCAAGGAACTGGGAGTTTCTGTGCTCGCACACAAAGAGCAAGGGTGCCAATGACATCTGCCTTACCACTGGGGTAAGACTTGCGTGTAAGCAAAGGAGCCGAATGCACCACCACAGCCATTCCCAGGGGGGAAACAACAAAGGGGTTACAACAGCGGGCAGTTGGATGCAGTAACTGGTACAGGGAGGCATCACCTGTCCTCCAGCACTGAATCCATTGGTTCTACGCCATCCGTGTTCACCTCATGAAGCTGATCAGCAAACTGGATCGCCTTCTGCAGCCGCTCCACACCCTCGGAGTCACGGAAATCCACCAAGGCCAAGTGTTCCAAGTGATCCAGCACGTCCACGGTCACCTTGTGCGGCACAGACACAAAACCGACTCTGATATAGCGCTACTTCCCTTCTGTTAACGGAGCGCCGTTGCACGGCAAGCCCCGGTTACAGCCGCCGGGACACGCTGACTGCTTTCCTATAACATCAATCGAGCTCGTGGTGTTCTCTCTGCCGAGCGAAGGGCAAACCTCAGCGCGGGCCGCAGGCACCGCCCGGGGCCGCCTCTCTCGTCCCTCCGTCCCTCCCCTCCCGCTCCCCCGGCCGAGCTGCCGTACCTGCGGGGAGCCCGAAGCGGGGCGGGCCCTCCCCGGTCCGCCCGATCGGGCCCGGACAGCACCGCGGAGCCACCGGCTGAGCGACAGCACCCGCATAACGCTCTCCCGACGGCGCCCCGGTAACGTCACCGCGCCGCGCCGGAAGCGTGTCAGAGCGGCAGCGCGGCGGGCCCGGTGCGGTGCCGGGGCTCGCTGCCGCGATGAACAGCGTCGGGGAGGCGTGCACCGAGCTGAAGCGCGAGTACGACCAGTGCTTCAACCGCTGGTTCGCCGACAAGTTCCTCAAGGGCGACAGCGCCGGCGACCCCTGCGGCCAGCTCTTCAAGCGCTACCAGCTCTGCGTGCAGGTGATGCCCGCCGCGCTCGGGATCTGCCCTTGTCTTCCGGTTCTGTGGGTCGTGACCCGCAGTGGTTCATGGGTGTCTGTTACTGGGGTTTTCTCGTTCATGATACTTCCGGAGCCCGCCGTTGCCGAGGCTGTTTGGGTGACGGTATTTGGTTCTACAGCAGCGTAAGGAGGATGCCGGAGACTCTTCATTAGGGACTGTAGCGATAGAACAAGGCGTGATGGGTTCAAACTGAAACAAGGGAAGTTCAGGTTAGATGTAAAGTTGTTCCCTGTGAGGGTGCTGAGGCGCTGGCACAGGGTGCCCAGAGAAGCTGTGGCTGCCCCATCCCTGGCAGTGTTCAAGGCCAGGTTGGACACAGGGGCTTGGAGCAACCTGCTCCAGTGGAAGGGGTCCCTGCCCGTGGCAGGGGTTGGAGCTGGATGAACTTTAAGGTCCCTTCCAACCCAAACCAGCCTGTGACTCTGAGTTCTCAATACCTACTTGAACATCTCCACTATTGAAGCTTTATTCAAACCAAGCTTAAGACTACTTTCTATAGTATCTTTTTTTTCCACCAGAGATTATATTAGCACTATCAAGGTGTGTCAAGTTTAATTTTTGGGTTTTATTCTAATTTCAGAAAGCTATCAAGGAAAAGGACATACCTATCGAAGGCCTGGAGTTCATGGGCGCAAGCAAAGGAAAAACTGAAAACTCCTCTTGACCTCAGCTGCATGGATGGAGTCACCAACAGGAACCTTTGCCCTAAGGAACATCACCAGGCAGCCGGCTCTATGCCACCTGGATATGACCTTTGTTAAAGCTGCTTTCTAGAAGCCAAGCACCTTCTCTGCTTGTTAAAAAACCAAACTGAAACAAGACTGAATGATGTGGTAACTGCCTCCTTTTCGGTGACTTTTGGTGGTGGTTCAGCATCTAACAGTGTGCAAAACCCTTTGAACTAACTTCCCAGTGAATGTACTCTCTAGTGAGAGAATGCTTCTTAGAGTGGGCTGAGGTAGTAGTTGCTTTGTGACTGATTTCTCTTGCTTATTTATATAACACTTGAAAGTGTTGAAAAAGTAATATGAAACAGGTGGATTTCCTTTGTGTCCTCCCTGTGCTGCTGAATTTTGGTGGAAGAAGTTTGGTTTATATGATCCTAAATGCTGAGGAGCTAAACCATGGTTTTGTATCAGCAACAGAGGTGGTATGAAAGCACTCTGTTGGACCTGCAGTAACATAGCTCCAATAAATATAACCAGGTTGTGTTTCATTCTGATTGTGACCTCTAGGAAGGCCGGAACGTGAACAGGACACTTTAATACTTCTCGAGACTTTTCCAAGGTATTGAAACAATCCTAAACTGGAACTCTTTCTCCTTTAGCATTCATGTTCCAGCAGTAAAACTGCAGCACAGCCCTGGCCATCCTTTTCCACACTACCACAAAGCACTGGGGTGGCCACCGTCACCGTTAGGCTTTTGCTTGTGGTGGGTAAAGTGCATGTGGAACAAGGGAAACAATGGGTTGAAGCTTGACAGGTGGTGATGTTAAGATCCCCAACTGCTGCTGAAGGATTTCTCCTGCTCATGAAGCTGCTCTTGAGCTGTGTGTACTTTGTGCCTGGGAAGGCAAACAAAAGCTTCTTGTGCTGGTTTGTGAACTGCAGAAACGCAGCAACTAAAGGGTTTGTCTTAGCCCCCCAGAGTGGGCTAAGAGAAAATGCCTTTATGATGTTAATAAATACTGCAATAGCTGATTACGGAGAATATGCTTTAGTATGTGCTGAATTTGAGTCTACATTATTAGCATGATAGCTGTTCATCTGGCTCTTGAGTTTACAGTGACCAGTTAAACTAGACATGAGGAAGTAATGTCTTGGGCCGAGTGCGTTCCTGTTGTCAGTGTACCAGATACAGGAGCAGTTATGAACATTTATGCAACTTTGCTCCTGCACTGTATCCTCAATGTTTTAAGCAAACACTGAACTAAAGAATGTCTAAGGATTCAGATTAACAAAAAGGTCAGGTGCTAAATTCAAGTTCAGACTTGTTTATTTGAAGGACCTCTTCACAAGCACAGACAGAGGCTACCACGCCATTCAACTTCATCACAGAAGGAATACAGAGTTTCTTAAACGATGGTTCCCACACAACATTCTGTTCCAAGATGGGAACAGCCAAGGTTCTGGCTGTGGTCAGGGTCTTAGTTTTAATCTTCATAACCGGTTGGGAGAGGATTAACATGGGGGTTGTGGAACAGAGTTCTCTTCCCATCACCCCAGGGGAAAGGCTGTAGAATGAAGAAGGAAAACAAGGCAGTGTCAGCTGAGTGATCTGTAAAGCACAGGAAACCAACAGCAACACAGACTCAGATGTCACACAACTCCACAGACTGATGAATTGTTCAAGTTGGCATCTGTTCTTGGGCTGCAGGAGCAAGAGCTGGAGAACATCTCTAAACAAGATCCCAGACTGGTTTGGGTTGGAAGGGACCTTAAAGCTCACCCAGTTCCAACCCCTGCCACAGGCAGGGACCCCTTCCACTAGAGCAGGTTGCTCCAATCCCCTGTGTCCAACCTGGCCTTGAACACTGGCAGGGATGGGGCAGCCACAGCTTCTCTGGGCACCCTGTGCCAGCGCCTCAGCACCCTCACAGGGAACAGCTTCTGCCTAAGAGCTCATCTCAGTCTCCCCTCTGGCAGCTTAAAGCCATTACACCTTGTTTCACACCTGCATGCCCTTGTAAAAAGCCCCTCTCCAGATTTCCTGTCACCCCATTAGATGCTGGAAGGATCTTTGCTATCAGCTATGCTATAGCAGGAGGGCCCCAGTTTTGAGAATTTGGGATCTTCTGTTACCTTTCAGATCCATATTAGTTTAGGGTAAGCACAGCAGCTCCAAGACTGTAATGTTTTCCAGCAAGCCATTAGCAGGATTACTTGGGCTGGGAAGGCTTGTGAATACCACAGGTGCTTCACCTGAGCTGTAAGGAACTGGCTGCCTCAGAAACAAAGCCCCCAGTCAAGATCGTGGCTAAGAGCACAGCACGTCATGTAGCGAACAAGAAAGCTGCAGGTACTACAGTAGCTCTACAATCACAGGACAAAAGGAGGGCCTTTAAACAGAGCAGGGGAACGTACCTTGGTCCGGATCCGGAGGTGAGTGTAGGGAATAAACTCGGGTCTCTCGGGCTTGTGCTGCGCTTTCAGGTAGCAGTTCAGCATGCAAACACCCACACCGGGCAGGGCCACCACGAAGGTCAGCATCTTCCACAGGCGGGCTGGTGGGGAGCACAACAGGAATCAGAAGGACAAGCTAACCGTTTCCGTTAGTGTCAGTGACCCGGCGCACGTTAAACGCAGCTAAGGGGACTAAGAAGACACCGAATGCTCTCATCCCTCACTCGAGCGTGGGGCTCCCTCCCGTTCTGCACAGGGACCCCGCGCTTACGGCTCACGCCACAGCTCCCCCGGGGCACAGCCGCGGCTCGCACCGCCCGCGCCCGCCGAGCGCCTACCGCAAAGGACAGCGCCGTCAAGGGCTGTCAAGGACAAAGGCCCGTGGGCCCGACACCGCCCTCCCCCCGAAGAGCCCCGTTACCTCCGCCGCCCTCATGGGCCGCAGCCGACATGCTCCGCCCCGGCAGGGAGCGCGGGGCGGCGGCACCGAGCAGCGCCCGGGACACCCTTCCGAGCGCCGCCATGTCCGAACTGCGACCGGAACTGGGGCCGACGGCGGCCGGCAGGGGACACAGCGGCTGCGCGCATGCGCCAGCCTGACCTTGAGCTGCCGCGGGCTGAGGGTGCCATGTTGCGCATGCGTGGAGGGGGTTGGCGCCATTTTGGTGCTGAGGGGAAGGAACAGTGGGGAGATGGTTCAGGTATGAGGGGCTGAAGGGTCCCTCGAGTGGGGCAGCCATGAGGGGAGGAAGAAGCTCTCCCCTGTGAGGGTGCTGAGGCGCTGGCACAGGGTGCCCAGAGAAGCTGTGGCTGTCCCATCCCTGGCAGTGTTCAAGGCCAGGTTGGACACGGGATTGGAGCAAGCTGTTATCATTAAAAGAAGTTTCTTGTGAGCACTTCTTCCACCCGTGGAGCAACAAGGGGTTGTGGAGAGTAACTGGATGTGTGGTTGAGGTCTGTCATGAACCTGAGCATGGTGGCACTTTCATTGCAATCTGGGCTACACTGATGTAAAATGTGGCTTTCTTAGGCTTTGTCATCCTGACAGCTGTCATTAATCTACCTATTAGGTGCCTCAGGAGTGTAATGGGTCTGGTTCATGTAGTCTGAAATGTACCATTAATCAGGAGTGGCTGCTGGAAGACACAAAAGATTCCATGTGAAAAAATACCTTCTAGCTGAGGGAGGACAGGCAGCTAATGAAGAAACCTGGGTATTTTCCTATTGTGAGGAATGTTTTGGTATAGTTGTATGAAATACGTTGAACTGTGCAATACGTCATGGTTATTGTCACTGTGATGATCGCAGTCATCCCGACAGCATTTGTTTTTACAGAGGGGTAGGGAAAATGGCAGTGAATGAGCAGTCAGCTCTGCACTGGCTCAGTGGCTCTGTGGCCCTGTGGCATGGAACCTATATTGACCCCAGCAGTGTGCACTGCTGTCTTGCAGAGAGGACTTCCTCCATGGGAGTTTTTCCAGAGCTGACCTATCCGAGGGCCTGTGGCTTGCTTTAGGAACTAGAGTAACATTAAAAATACCTTTCTAAATCTTGATTTTGAGGAGGTTTCGACGTGTACGTTTTTCTAAAAGACACTGCATCCTGGGAGACTTCTGGGTGCAGAAATGCTACAAAGCTAGCTCTGAAAAAGGTAAAAAAAATAGCATATATATATAATGTATACTATATACTATATTAATACATATTATATGCATAATATTATATATATAAATATATATATATACAGTGCTGGTAGCCAACAGAGACAGCTGTTTCCATGGTAGTGGTACAGTCCAGAACTGTTGTCTGACTTGGCTACCCAGTAAACATCTCCCATTGGGGGTATGCAGCGTGTTGGATTGTCTTGCTGTTCAGTTTAGCAGAACCTGAACGATTGCAGCGAGCTGGTGTTCAGTGCAGGTGGAGCTGACTCATTACACTGACAGAAAAAAATGTTTCTAGCACAAAAGCAAGCTTGGTTTCATCCGTGCTAAGCACAGAAGCGCACACTGAGGCAGGAAACATCAGCTTTCAGATTAACGGCCCTAAATTTAGTGAGTTTTGAGATAGGGAAGTTCCGCTGTAATTCAAAGTATCTTTCCAGAGATTCATCTTTAACCTTTCTTTTTCCTTCCTTTTCCTCGCTGCAGTGGTGGGCAGCAGAGAGGACCCGGGTAACAGCGTGAGTCTCTGATGAGAGGTGACACGGTCAGCTGGGGCCGCAGGGGCTCAGAGCAATGCCGCGCTGGCCCGCCGGGTGGCAAACTGCTGTCATGGTAAGCGCCTCTCCGTTTCGGAGGTTTGGGAACAACAAACGCGCTCTGTGCTTTCACGCCGTAATCTCATCTCCGTTCAAGTTTTCAGCGATCGGCTCATCCCTCTCGAATAGCAATGTTCCCTCCATCAGATACCGCCTTCAAAAGGCGAAGTTCGTGCTGCAGAGATAACGTCTGTGTCTCAGACTTCACAGAGTTTCTGGGGGGTTCTTCATCTTCTCCCTGTAGTCCCGGAACTGCGGAAATCAATATTCTGACATCTGTAAATCCTTTGTTCCCCTTTTCACCAGGGCTTTATCAGCTTTGGGAGGGAGAGAAGGAGGGGGGAAGAGGGCGTTGAGAGAGCCATTGTCCCTTCTCTCGGGAATGATCTGGAAGTACTATGCAAATCTTCATTTGAAGACCCTGGGAACTGGGGGAGGGCTTTAGCTGCGAGATCAGTAGGAGGGGAGCTCTGCATCCCTGCTCACGCACACTCCTGCCTGGTGCAGGGAGCTGGGGAGAGTGTTTTGAATTAGCAGAAGAGACATTTTCTGCTTTGTGCACTTCTGTGAGGCTTTGCGCTCCTTATGTCTCCTTCTTTGTGCTTTTTACTGCCTGCTTCTAAATGTTTGCATAAGAATTGAATGAGGGAGAGATCTAGAAGCTGTGACTAGCAGTGATGGAGTCAGGAGGGCACAGGGTGCAGCCTCCCCACCTCACACCCTGGAGTCTCCAGCCAGACAGCAGTGCAGCTCCAGTGGTGCCAGCACACGTATCACCCCACTGTTGGCAGTAGCATGGGCACAGTTCAGTAAGCAAGTGACTCAGCTGGTCAGGAGCAGTGGAGTAAAACAGTTTGCACTTCTCAAATTGTTATGATGTAGCCAGGTCTTAAAAGGCCTCCTCTTACAGGGGCAAATGATGGCAGAGTGGTACCTGCTTTATGAAACCGTGCAGTCTGCCCTGGCTTGGCTCAGAGCTCTCTGTCACATGTTTTGTATTAGCACAGGGTCACACTAACTGCCAGTTTCCTGGAAGCTGTGCAGGGTCCTTCTTAGGCCTTGTGGAAAGGGAAATATCCCGATTGCATAGACACGGGGGTGAACAGGGCAGGGTGGGGAGGAGAACTGATTCACATTGAGGCATTTTTGTGTTTATAAGCTGCTGTGAAGGCAGTCATTGTCTTTCTGATTTTTTGACATCATTTTCATGGCATCAGCCATGTTTTATTTTTCAAACTTTGGGGGGGTTTTGTTCCAGCAAGCTCAAAACTGCTGTTGACCAATGCCAGGCCTGGGAAATGCAACATTCTGCTCCCCTGGGCAGCTGAGAAGATGCTGCTTTTAAAAAATCTCACCTTCTGCCTAAGCCTTAGGAACACATGCCCTGAGACGTGATTCTGTTACCTCCAACGCAATGGAAAACACTAGTGGCTTTGTTCTGCAAATACTTTACTGCTTTAGAGAGGAAAAGTGTATCACAAACATACTCTCACGTGCACAATTGGGTCCAAATCTGCTCTCTGTCTTTTTATGTGTAACTCCAGAGTGACTCAGCAGAGTTGGACGAGTGTCCCCTGGAACCCTGTGAGCTGGGAACCTGCCTGGACGTGCCTTCCTGCTCCTGTAAGTGCTCCCACTACCTGTGCACACTCACACATCCATGTAGATGCTTCTCTGAGTACACTTGTTTGCATGCAGGCTGGTGTCTGAATGCACATTCTTCTCAGCCACTCTTCACATATGCATGCAAACACACACACATTCTCAAGTGCACACATCCATTCCCTTTCTCTCATACACATTTGTGCACATACACAGACCTTTTTGAAAGCTCCTGTTTTCAGAACGGTTTTATTTATAGGTCCTGCCTGGTTGTGAATGTGAAAGGGAGAAAGCCCCTCAGAGGGTTCCTTTCATGTGTAAATCAGCCTAGGCTGAGAGCATTGGGGTCACTGAGAGGAGGATTTCACTCTTAATTACTCAGAGAGAAAGCAGGCAGGGGACTTTCTCAAACTAATAGGGTTGTTCTCTGCTGGGGAAAGCAGCTTGAGACGCCCAAGTTTCTCTTGCATCAGACTTTGGGCTCTGATTCACAGGCCTCTTCTGCCAGTAGCAAGAGCTGGTGTCTGTGTGGCACTCAGAACAAACAGTTCAGCTTCCAAGCAGGCTTACATATTAGACATCATTATGTTCATTCTGGTAATTGGGTCCTCTTTGGAGACCGGTGGAAAAAACTGACCTAGTTTGCTTAGTTTTTCAATAAAACTGACATAAAAGTAATGTTAGTTTGTGCTGTATCTGTGGTTCCATCTGATGACCTCAGCATTCTTGCAGACCTGGAAGCTCCCACCTCTTTGCCAAGCAGAAAAATGTTATTGTCTAGAGATTAGTCCAGTGTGCAGGGCTCTCAACTTGGACTTAAAACCAGCACTGAATTCCCAGTCCAGCCACTGAAGGCCTGTGTGACTTCAGCAGTGAAATGGGGTAATCTCTCAAGAATGGGGCTGTTAAGAACAAAAGTCAATATGATTGTGGTACTCTTAGTAATAAGTCTGAGAATGCCAAGGTAAATGGGTGATGAGCATGTCTTTTTTCCTGGAATGTAGTGCAAGCACACAGATTCCCCTGCTGAAGTTCCATTGTCACCTTTCATGTGGACACAAAACTGAGTCTGGAGGCACGGGAACATCCCAGTCACATGCCACTCTGTCCTCTGCAGGAACCAGAGGACCTGTTTGTGGAGAGTTGCAGTAGTTGCAGGGAAGAGATCTGTGTTGCCAAGTACACGTACACACAAGCGAGTCTATTTGTTAACTTTAGTTGACTCGGTTACATTTACATCCTTTCATCTGTACCTCCTTTTCCTATGGCCTCTGCTTTTCTGCATAGGAAATAAGGCCTTTGAGGTCTGAACATTCCCAACGTGTGCACAGACAGTCCCCTGGGAACAGGATTCTTGAGGGTTCGTTAGCTGCTTGCCTAGGAAGGCAGAGGTTTCAATCCAGGAGCACCTGTTTGAGGAAGCTTGGGGCAGTGGTGGGGGCTGTTGGCAGATGAGGTCAGCAGTCTGAAGTGTCTGCAGAGGTCAGAGAAATGAATGGGTCATTTCTTTTGCAAATGAAGAGCTGCAGCCTGGAGCAGCCTTAGCAGAGCCCAGCATGTGGGTCCAGGCTGTTCCTTTTATGAGCTGATGGAAATGGGGCCCAAAAGGACTTCCCTGATGGAGTTTTGTCGCAGCCTTTGTTATCTTTTGCCTCCTGCAGCATGCACTGGGCGTAGAATATGGATTGGGGGTTATCCTGACTACCAACACAGTCAAGAGGATGAAGGCTTTATGGCTGCATAGAAAAACCTAAAGCTGCAGGGCATCCTTATTGCTGTTCCACAAGGAAAATCTTGGTTTAAGATGTAGAACACGTTTCTTTTGCTTTAGTGCTTCCTTTTACCCAACCTGTACTAAAATGAGTAAATCCAAGGGCTGCTTTAAAATCATGCATGTAACTGAGTAACAGTGATAAAAAAGCCTGGATTCTATTCCTCCTCCTCGTAGTAAATTGTTGGTTACTTCAACAAAGCCCTATGAATGCTTTAGTAGTGTGTTCCTCCTTCTAAACTATTTTGAGGATTTGGGGTGCTGAGTGCTTTATGCATGCAAGCCGTTGATGTTAGTAGCACCATCTGTCCATGAGATCCCTTTTTGTCTACTTTTTAGGAAACTGTTACTTTCTCTGAATTGCTGATTCAGAATTTTGTTACATAAACACTGTCAGTTCTGTTTTGCCATTTGCTCTTTTACATCTTTGCAGACCACCAGGGTCTTCTTTTGCTGTGACATTGTAATGGGAGGTGGAGACACCTCGAGGAGGAGGTTGAAACACACAACAGCAATCACAGTCAATAGCGTCTATGAATAGGGAAAATCCTGCCTATTTTTCGTATGTACAGGTGTTTAAAATAAGGCAGGACATGGAAATAACTGCTTCCCTTGTAGGAGCTCTAAGAACAGCTTCCTATTGTTATTTCAAAGCCTCATCTGGAGTAGGGCAGGGTGAGGGTTTTAAGTGGAAGGCAGCTAAGGTTGTAGTAACTCTGCTCAGAGTTTAGTGCTTGCTGCTGTTATGTTATAGTCCCGACATGTATCTAGAAGTTAGAAGAGCCCTGGGAACTTGTGCTGGTGCAGTTTAATGCACTTGCTTTAGTGCAGAACTTGCACTAAAGAGGAAAATCAGCTTAGGTTTAGATTTTATTTTCCAGCATCTACTATGTGTGAAGGATTGTTTTTTTATGGCTTTTATCTCCATTTTCCTTTAGAAACTTCAGGAGGATTGTCCACCCTTCGAATCTGTTTTGATGTGTTTTAAATGCATGATACAGAGCACAGCAACTCTCAGTAAATTGCAGAAAGAGGGCATAAAATCATAACGTGTCTTCAGAGGGATATATTCTCTATTTCCTAGGAACACCAGCCAGGTTTACACCACTTTGTGCAAGAGTTGCTGCAAGAGAAGATGGATGTTTTTGAGGGCTTGAAGACAGCTTCGTATTTGGGGTAAGGCTGAGGTTAGCCATGGAGCCTGTGTCCAGGCAGGAATTTGACAGCAGACATGGGCACACAGTAATGCAGTCTCTGAAAATCACAGAAGCCTGCTGAGTTATTGTGAGCTGGAGGAGCTTTTCTGTTTGTGGGCACATGGGTCTGCCTGCCTCACATTGTGCAGACATAACTGAGACATAAAGGAGGCTGGCAAATTGCAGAACACTGATGGAAAGGGGAACAGGGGCCTGAAGAAGAGAATTTAAGAGTTTGTAGACAAAGGGCTTAAGCCTAGTTGTGAATTCCTAGCGGGCAGTTGGTCTTTAAGTGAAAGCATTTGTCAGGTAACATACTGATTTAGTGTGGGAATTGGATAGGTATCTGCAAAGGTTTTTGCACCCTGTTTGCAGTGTGATTACAGGAGATGTTAACAGAGAAAGCAATTTTACTTTCTACCACGGTATATATTTGTTCATGTATCTAAACGCTAGGGCAGGCAGTAGAGATGTCATGTGTGTCTCTCTTTGTATGATGTCATGGTGTATGGACATGTAATATCCTCACAAATTATGATTGATTGTAAATTAGGCGTATAACTCACTTTTGTTCTGGTAGTACACCACCATACTGCGAGTATTGTTGGATTATACAGGGCCTGGCATCAGCCACACCTGGTTCATGGTCTATGTCCCCTGTCACACAGCCCTGCTCCTGTTTTACCTGGGCAGTGCACTTGCCATGTCCGTCATGAGCTTCACCTTTCTTGGACCCCACGTTATCTCCTTTCACTGCACTGGGACTTCAGTGTCATGATGCAGTTGCTTGGCTGTGCTGAGTAGTGGCTGTGATCAGGTTGCATGTCCATGCTGTGCCCATCACCAAACTGATGCATTCCACAGAGCAGCACCAGCAGCTCCTCTCTGGTCTCTCTGTGTGTGTCCCCTTTTCTTGCCTGTCAGGACTCTGTTAGGGAATGTAGCAGGCCTGGCATGACAGGGTAATAGGCAGTTCTTCCTACAGTTCCCCCAGCATCCTACCACAGCTCTCGCTGCTGCACAGGTTTGTAGTATTTTGAGATTGGATCCTCATTTCAAATTTATTTAATTTTCTTTAACTTTCAAGTTAAAGAACTGTTGTTTTTGTATTTAATTAATTTAATTTAATTAATATTTTTATTTAATTTTCTTTAACTTTCAAGTTAAAGAGCCTTGAACTGTTCCTATGCTGGAGCCCTGTGAAATAACTGCTAAGGATTCATAAGTTGCTGTTAAAAGCATGCAGAATTGAGCTGTGTGGTTGGCCATTCCTGTAAACCATTTGACTCTTCATCAGTTTCGTTCTGGGCTTTTCCTTTAAAGCCCTCTCCCAAACTGGACCCAAGACAATGGACACCAGCAGGCACAGCTCCCACTGACTAGGATATTGTCACATATCCAAAAGCCTGGTGGGAGGAGCAGACATTAGGTCTGAATTCATCCTGGCAGGGAGATTCAGCTGAGAAAGGAGGAAAAGAAGGTCAGAGGCAGCTCCAAGGAAACGGCTTTGGTTTAAAATGTTTCATTAGAGAGTTTTCACACTGGAAATATAAAGTACAGGAATACAATTGCTTGGCAGAAGAACCCCATTTAGTAACAGTCCTGTATACACTCAGTACTCTGTACAGAAAGAGGCAAAATATCCCTATCTCAGCAAAATTATGAGTTGTTCTTGTAAATGTGAGATTTTTCCAGAGAAACTTACATAATCTGGAGAATTTGTTAATATTGATAAAAGATGTTCTTTTTCCAGTAGACCATTGCTCTCTGCTGTAGCCACACAGACTTTGCAGGGCAGACTAGTTTAAGCAGTGTATTAGTGTCAGTCCAGCTGGGAACACTATTGGATGCTCACCTCACATTGTTTTCCTTCCCTTCTGTGTCTGTCTTTGATATTCTCAGTTGTAACTCAGTAAGATAATCATAGTCACCCCTTTCCAAAGGGGTACTCTTCCCCCTGTTGATTTGATAAGCTCCTTTTTTGAAGGCAGTTGTTACCTGCCTCTTGAGCTTTGTCAGCTCACGGTGTTTTCCCTCCTCCTGCAGGCAGGGGTGTGGGTGTTGGACTGGCCTGTGAGATCTGTGTTACCGATGAGGGAGTAGGAATGGGATGCCAGGATGTTTTGTCTGTTTACTTCTTTTGGGATATAGCGTGACCAAAGAACTGAGCAGTAGAAACATCACAAAGAAGTGTGTGGTGTGGATGGATTTTTCTATGGGAAGCCAGGATTAGTTTACATTTGGTTTTTTCTTCTGCTGAGGTTACAGGTGAAAACCTTGGAGGGGCTTTGTCATTACATCCCAGTGGCAGTTTTACTCTTCCTCAGAAAGAGATGTTTCCTGACAGACTGGCAAACAAAAGCACACATGCAGTGCCCTGCAAAGGTCATACCTCATCAGACCCTGAAACAGCTGAAGTACAGGTTGTTAATCTTTCACACTGCCAGCCCCTGTGGCATGTTTGTACCCAGGATCTCTTGTCAGCACCTCAAATGATTTTTATGTTCTTCACTGCCTGTGCTGGGCAGTGTGTTGTCAGGGCCACGATGCACCAGCTGACTCTGCAACCTCTTCCCCCGTCCTACAAGTTTGACTGCCTGTGTTCAAGGTCTGCCCTGATAGGGTGGAGTGTAACCTTGGACCAGAGTGCTGTGGGAAGAGCTGTGTGCCAGAATGCTGAGAGAAACCTGCTGGGGCCTCCCCACTTGGGAGCCATGAATAGAGCAGCCCTTGTCCTCCATCCTCGTCTGGGGTAGGCTGTAAGGATGTCTGTGCCTGGCTGTGGACCTTACTGATCGTGACTTGCTGCCTTGACTTTCTGATTGGCCTCAGACCTGGCCCGTCCCTATGGGCTTCTCAGCAGCTGCTGTGCTGGGCATTGACCACAGCCTTTAGGCCCACCATCTCCATCTGTCTGAGGAGTCAGAGAGTAAATGGGCAGCGATACGAAGGGCACTGTGGCACCATGCTGATTTATTGCTATTACGAATGAGAAAGATGCGGCATTAGCTTTGCCTCCCTTCATTTCCAACTTGCTGCAAAGGCACACCGAAAATCAGTCTGTCGGCAAGAGCTGGGTCCGTCAAGAAGCAGCCGGCAGGAGGAGCTCTCTCGACATTTCGCTGGCACATTTTCGGGCGCTCAGAGCTGCATGTTTCAAGGGCATCCGT